GAGAAATTGAAAGGCCGGAGAGATGCTCTGTACTTGAGCCTCACAAAGCGGCAGCTGACGACGCAGGGCCGGCTTTTTCAAGGTCTTAGCACAGTTACCTGAGGTGAACCCAGCGCTGACCGAACCTGCATACAGGTGAACTGACCTGGCTGGATTCATCGTCCAAAATGTGGTTTCAGAGCACATTTTGAATACTGACTAACTCTAATATGAAGCTTTTTTCCAAAACTATTCTTATATGGCCTTTGAAAAGGCTTGGAGTTGAGCACAGACAATGTGATACAGCAAAAAGACAAAAGTAGCAATATTGACTTTTAGAGCAGAGAGTTGCTGAGATACTGCTGCAGAGACATTACCCAGTGTGAGAGTGGTTCTGCTCAGAGAGACCTTTTCCTTTCCGTTTTTATCCAAGAGAAAAATAAATCTTCTCCAAATGCAAACACCAACAGCTGAATACTCTTTCTCTCACAGTGTTTGTGCCAAACCCGCCAAAAAAACCTTACAGAGCTGCACTCTGCCCTGGTATCCACTTATAGGACAGCAGAAAAAGTCCTAGTAGCTAGAGCACAACTTCATGACTGCACCACAGCTCCCCTGTCCCATGCAGGCCACTGTAGCCTCATTCTCATTTCCTCATTTCAGCACTCAGACACTGACAGCACAGGGCCACTGATACAATATATTCTTCCCACCAGTTTCCAGAATCATATTCACAACTAACACATGCTGCTAAATATAAACCCACAACTAGATGAGAAAAGTAGAGAGCTGGGACTATCTGTACTCTCCTAACAGCAAAGTCAGCAGATAAAAGTCTCCTCTAGTGGAGGGAACTCTGCATCCTGGTTAGTTTTTTTGTCCTTGTGTCAAATAGTCTCTTAAGCAGCCGCTATCTGACACGCCGGCTGCTATTTCCAGCCTGTACCATGTGTTAAACATGGATGAGGGAGCAGAGGAGCCTGACTGCTAACTGACTGGCTGTCTGGCTGGCTGCTGCCTGGTTATTACTGGTGCAGAGGAGGCTGAAACTGATGAGACAGAAGCAGCCAGGAGCTTCAACACTGCAGGCATGCACACAGACATACGTATATCAACTCCTGTAAGGCGAAGAAGTATCCTGTCCTTTTGCAAAGAGGTAGACATGTAAGGAGACAACGTACAAGGTAAATAAGTCTAGATAGGAAATAAATGTATACCTACGGATGAGTCTCGGACCGCATCACACGCCGTGAGGAGAGGAGGAAAACTTCTCTGCACTCTGAGCCTCTTGGTCGCTGGTGATGTGCTTTCATGGCGCGGCAAAGTTGACTGCAGCATTGCCTCCTGAACAGAATGACATTGTTTGCACTCTCTCTCTCCCTCTCTCTCTCTCTCTCCCTCAGTCCTCCTCCTCCTCCTCCTGTGCGCGCTCACTCCCCCTCCTCTTCTTTGCACGCTTGCTGGCAGCATAAACTGCACAGCTCAGCAGTGTTCCCCCACTGCCGCAGCAGATCCTGCATGAGCTCTGCGTATCTGAGTGGGATGGGACTTTTAAAGGGGAACGCAACCTCCAGGGTCAGTGTGTGCACATCCTCGGTCCGCCCTCCTCTCCTCCCTGTCCTCCTCAGCAACCCCACCCCCACCCCCACCCCCCTGCTCTCCTAACACCGCTGACAATCATCAGTGTAAAGGACTCCTCACAAGAGAGACCCCCTCCATGCACACATAACCCTCCATCCCCTTTTATTCATTTTCACACTACAGCAAAAGCTGCTTTGAGAAGTGAGTGTGCTCAGACCTCAATGAGGAATAATTTGCTCCTCAGAGAGGCCATCTCCTCTGGTATGCTTTGAAACCTGTCACAATATCTTGGAAATATAAATTCCAATGAAAATGCCTATTGTATATTTCCAGGAATGAGTTGCAAAAAGACCCATTTAAGACCATTTATTTCAAAAGTGTTCATGAAAGATCAGAAGATGAGACTCTGGGTCAAGACTGAATCACCACCTCTAAATCAAGATGATTGTTTGTCACGAGATCAGGTGATATTATATTCAAAAAATCTGGTCGCTTTATTGTACTGTTGAGCAATTATTAGGGACCATCAACAAAGTACAAAACACAAGACACACCACAATGTCACCGCACATTATGAGCAATAATCATGCAATCAGTGAGTGAATGTCACTATCTAAAAGCTGCCTCGTAAAGTAAAATGCCCTTAATCTGCCTACCTTTCATTACCCAAGATGCACTGCTCTACTGGTGCTATTCTGCAGTGCGCTAAAATATAGAAATATCTTGACCAACCAAATTTGTCTTTTGCGTGTTGCACAACTCTGTGAGAGTGAGATCATCCATCATTTAGTCAGCCAATAAGGTTGAACTTCTCTTTCTGCAATGGCTTTACTTCACAAAAATGCACAAGGTGGGACGCTTCCGAGCTTTTCACTGATGACGTTTGCAGCGCACTGCATGGGCTTTGTATGGATAATGGTTTCTCCATTTTAAATTCTGTGCGTTTGAGGTATCAGCGTCTTGGCTGTACTCTGCAGCAGTGCAGCGCTCTCTGCTTCTCACTGCAGGAGCGGGGCTTTTTTTTTTTCTTCTTTTTTTTTTTTTTTTAAACATGACTTTGTTCTGCCTGGGCCCCCAGTTGAACCCTGGGATCTTTCGTCCTGTGGTGCAAAATTAGGCGCTGCATGCACCTCACATTAACCCTGAATCCATCCAGACAAGGTGTATGCTTACCTGTTTTAGGCAAATTGGACTTTGTGTATTATATGAGGGCTTTTCTCCCTAATTAGCTTGTATCTCTGCTCTTAAGATATACCACTGCTGCTACAGATTACTGAATCAGCAAAGTCACATAATGGAGCATCTCTGACTATTGGGGATCAGCTGCACGAGGCTGTCCATATCAGTCAGTGTCAGCATGAATCACAGGTTGTGTATCATGCGAAAATTGCAATCAGCTGAGAGTGAAGCATCACTCCCTGCATGAAAGATCTGCATGCAGCGCTGCGACTGCATCAGTCTGCCGAGCCTCGCAGCATCTGTCCTCTCCCCTGTACTCTGTGACACCAGGGAAAATGCCCCCGCCAGCATATCCCTCACATAGCCCATGCCATTCTCAGTAATGGCATCCCCTGTGATGAATAAGCCATGAGGAGGGGCCCTTTTACATGTCCTATTAGATTACCTCCCTGTGCTTTACCTGGCTGCTGTCACCTCATCGCCTCTGGCTCTCCACTCTTCTTAATATTCTTTCTTGTTAGCCCAGCCAAGGGCAGAATGTATGAACGTGTGTTAAAGCTCATAGATCATATTTGTGTGGAGATTTGGAGTTGAGTCGTCTGTGCAGTTCATTGAATGTTGTACATACACGAACAGTCACTCATTTTTATGATTCGCATTAAGGTCTGGTAAAAACTGCCTCCCTTTTTTTGTACCTGCTGTCATAACAGGACGTTGTCATTGACTTACACCTTATCAGACATGAGCTGTAACAAAACTGAGGCAATGCTCATCTGAGGGGAAAAAGGTTATCTGTCAGGTATAGACAGTCTTGACACGCGCAGATAATGGAGTTAAGTCTAACCATTGGCAGGTGAGTTTGCATGTCTTTTTTCTTTTTTGCCATTCACAGCCAATTCCCCGGCTCCATTGATCTGTCCGGAAAAGATAATAGACACATTGATTCACAAGCTCAGCAGCTTGCTTGGTTTACACATCAATTCAGACTAATTCTCAGTAGTCCTTAGTCAAGGAGGAGAATTGCCTTAACTGACGAGTGACTCCTGGGTCTTTGAAAATGTAGATTTAAAAAGCCGTGCTGTGAAGATTTACTGTCTCTTTTGGGTGTAAAGAACTGCAGAATTTATTCCTGAAAATCTGATGTAAAAAAAAAAAAAAGATTTCGATGAGCATACGTGACCATAGACTCTGGGGGAACCAATGAAAAACAGAGTCAAAAAGGAGATAATTGAGGCTAGCTAACAATAAATTAACTTACAAAAATCTTCCTCTCTCCGCTCAGTTCAGTCCTTGTGGCATAGAGATAGAGTGAATGATGGGATCCTGACTTAGTAGAAGAAGGTGCGTGGTGTGTTTCACTGCGCCAAGGCTTCTTTGCTGACCTCATTTTGCAAAGCTGAGCAGATTCCTCCCAAGGCCAAGTGGAGTGAAAAAGACACACTGTCAACTCCTAAACAGGTCAAATGTGGTTGTGCAGGAACGACTGTAAGCACACGGACGTACAAGCAGTTAACCGTTTTGAATTCACAACAGACGAAGTATTCCAGGTATCTTTTATTTCACTGACAAGGATGCGCTCTTTTCGATTTTATTAAAGAATAACTGACGACATTACTCACGGTGACATTAAAGACCCTGTTCTGAGAGGCAGAGCTGGATATGCGAAACATATGAAGTGCGAGGAGTCATCAGTTTCTCCCTCAGTATGAGAGAGATACTAGTAAGAGGTCTATGATGGATTGACATCATGGTGAGTGGCTGAACTTCTGACAGCTGGCTGCTCTGTTGTGGTGAACGAGCTGCAGCTCTGTCAGCTGTCAGTGTCAGCGGCAGCCGGTCTACAGTGGTGTTGTAGCAGAGCATAACACACAGATCAGCCTTAACTGAGAGAGACTGCAGCAGGGAAGTCTTGATTAGGCGTTTACAGACATATAATATCAATTTCAAGCGTCTGTATGTAATATTTTACGATAAACCGTATTAAAAAATGCATTTTTGTGTGGATTTCTTCTCAGTGCTTCGTTAAGATGAGTGCAGTTAAATGTGTTCTTTCAAGGTCAGGTAAAGTAAATACTCCTTGTATAAAGCATGAAAACTTTGGACTCCGTGTTTATCTTATCTGGGGGCAGTGGTATGTAGATGCCCGTTGAGCTGTAAACCAGCTAAATTACACCTGTGAATATTCTGTTTCACAGTGACATTGCGCGCCTTGACTCTGAACAAAGTGAAAACCGTGGCCAGTTTACTGTGCAAACACCAAAATGATCATCTTGAAAGCAGTCAAGGACCTCACTCTGATGAAAAATATCCTTTACAGGGAGCTGCCACAGTCCATCACTGTAATGCAGCTGTTTTTTTTTTTAATGAATCATTAATGTTAGTGTGGTAGTAAGGCAGAAAACAACCTTGTGTTTAATAGAAAAAGAGAATGTCGGTTGATGACTGTAGAACAAACTCCACTCTGCTGAATTCAGTCTCCAGTGTTATTTGTGTGCTGTTTTCAGCTGCAGAGATGGAGAGCCACTTGTTATTTTGGTCTTTTCCCCTGCTGTATTGTGTTCTCCATTCCAGGTTCTTGGAGGAGTGTTGCATATCCTACACAACAACTTGTGTCACCTGGAGATGTGCGTTGACTCCTGGCCTACATTCACCACTGCCATTTGTTACCGTCAAAAACAGGTATAGCACACGGGGACAAAGATAGACGACTTGCAGGCGCCTCCGGAGTGGCCTGCTGATGTCTGAATCTGCCTGTGAAGCATTTCAGCAGCAGCAGCAGCAGCAGTAGCAGCAGCAGCAGCAGTAGCAGCAGCAGCAGCTCCAGTGTGATTCCTGACATATGCACCGTCTTCACCAAGAACCCAGAAACTCTGAGAAGTCTGCTGCTTAATGAGAGGGTGGTAAACTGGAGGAACGGACTCATATTCAGAGGTAGAGTGAAAGAATGAAGGCATAACATTTCCTTAACTGATGTTTTAGAATAATTGAGGCTGCAATTTGTTATTTTTATCCGTTGTCATAGCAATATATAGTATTTTTATTAGAGTGCATTTCTACCTCATGTCTAGTTTTCATCTGTGAAATAGACCTGTGATTATACTGTAACTGTGATGCATGGTACAGACACAGACATCCAACAACAGTGCTTTTTGGTTGAGTGTAACCGTTAACTTCCCTGATTTATTACAACACTATTTCAGAGTTTAATGTCTTTTATTCACTGAAGAGATTAGCAAAGTACTTAAAGGATGAGGCTGCAATATTCTGTGTTTTTTTTTTTTTTTATTGTCAACAAATTACATGCAAAGACAGAAACCGACTTCCCCAGGCAGTGTGTAGCTCTCTGCCCTGAGGCCCATTGGTTACTTGTGAAGATTGAAAACTTTATAGGTGGATCACAAATATATACTTGAACTAAAAAAGGCTCAGTGGTTTCTTAAAACAGCTGGGCACTACTCTTACTACTTATTACTCAAACAAGAGTAAATTTTCACCTGCAGATTAAAACACTTGTGGTGTGATACAGTGAGTGTTTCTGGCAACAGGACAGTGGGATCAACTCAAAATAAACTACAGTGTGTGTTTTCATTGCAACGAAGAAACATGTCACCCAGTGCAACAATGTGGTTCAGTCATGTGTTTTAATGGAACATTGGAGGTCTATAGCACAGAGGAATAAGCTATATCACTTAGATACATGGACAATACTTGTTGGTAGGAAAAAGTCAGTGTTGGTTTTGGTCTTTTCAGGGAATTAAGAAACATAATAATCTTTATGTTTCACAATAAGAAACATAAATAATATGATCAGACTTATTCTTTAAACTTAAATGTGGCTTTTTCAAACATATTTGTGTTTGCGCTTGAAAATAGTGAATGTGTTTTCACTTATTGAAACTTCCAAAATGCAGATTAATATCAGATCATATATGCACTTATATATTTTAAGCAGTTATTGTGTGTAGTTTTAAACAACAGATGAAAAATCTGATGTTTCCTGAACAAATCATTTTGTTTGCCCATGCCACGATTAAGGCACTGATGTGACGTGATGTGCTGAAATGATATCAGTGCTGATATTGACCTTATTCAGCAAATGTCTTTTTTTCTTTCTTTTTTTTTTAAATTTTTTTAATTTTGTGTCTCTGCAATCAGGTACATCCATTCAGTCATGGAGGTCAGCTGACTCAGCTTTTGGTGCCACAGTAATCCCTGCACTCATGTTACCTTATGTACAGTAAAAAATGATTCCAATGAGTCCCATGCAGTGTGCAATACAGGTATTAAATTTGGGGAAAAGAGAGCTCTGGTGTTGGACTGTTGGACTCCAGGAGTTGAGGATTGGTGCATGTCTGACCATAATGATGAAGGTAAATTAAAGCAAATTTGCTTTTGTGTCTCTGAAAGGTTTACCAAGCTCACACTGTGATCTCATCAAAGAACTTGCCACTCTCAGTGGGCTAGATATCACAGAATATGGGGGTTATAACACCTTCATCCACTACAGCCCGGAGAATACGGACTGGCAAGAGTGAGTTTCTGAAATTTGTTCATGACCTCAATTCAGGACAGCTCCATTACTTTTTAAATCGATGAGTGGGATTAGAAAATATGATGAACATTTCACTGATTTATGTTCATAATCTCTGTTCATATTTTTCTCTGTGGTCCAGGAAGGTGTTGCTGCTGCCAGTTTCCATTCTGGATGAGTCCCACGCTGAGCTCGTGGACACACACTTGCCTTATGGAGGCAACCAGGATAGCCTCAACCATGTGAGAGCCTGTATCCGCCATCTGCCAAACCACTGTGTGATGGATGAGGAGGGCCGCCCCGCGTCCTGGATGCTGTCTGATGAGCTGTGTGAGCTGAGGATGGCCTACACCCGACCAGAGTACAGACGAGCCGGTCACCTCCTGGCTCTGTCTCTGGCTCTGATCCGCAGGATGAGCTCTCTAGGTCTGCCCGTCTACTGCCACGTCAGCCAGCATAACCAGGCCGTCATTAATGCTGTGACCTCACTCGGCTTCTCTGCATGTCCCAGTATAGAGAAGATCTCAGTGCTGCTCATATGCAAGGACAGAGTCTGAGTAAGCCAAACGAATGACAATAAAGTCTGTCAGATGATTGAAACCACACTGGAAAACTGATGTTTTATTGTAAAAGTGGAAAATGTAACAAGTACTCTCCTTCTTCTATGATTTGTTTCCTTGGAGTGCTCAAAGGATGCTGCACAGTTTACTCAATTTCTGATAGCAAACTCAAAATCACATTTTCTGTGGTGTTAGGCTGGATTTGATTAATATGCCAGCCATGCTGCTCCTTTTTGTTCACTGTAAAAAAAAAAAACAGGTATACAAATGTCTCTCAGTATGAAACAGTTCTGTATGAATCTGTCCTCTGGTGTGTGCTGAGCGGCTATTCTTGAGGAAAAGACCCCCCCCTAATCTGCAGATCATCCAAGGAGACTCTCATCCACCTGGGACCCCTCCCTGGAGGTGTGCTGTTCCACTGCTGATTGCCTCTCTGTGTTTTAGCAGCAATGCACCATTCAAGTCTGCAGGCAACTTGACAAATGAGCAGCGGTCTGAGCAGAGGGGATGCTCGTACTGCACCACACATCCTGTCCCATCCACATCCCCCTGTCCCGCAGTGGTGCACCTCTCTTAACTGACGCCCTTTGCTTAATCTAAACCTGCAGGCACTCTTCTCAAAGTCACAGTAGTACAGTACATGCTAAATACATGTTTGCAGGTTTTATTTTGGAATATTATAAATTAAATTAACTGCTTGTCAATAAACTTTGAAATGCAGCAATTAATCAATAAACTGATTGATTAGTCAGTTTATAGGAAATTAATCAGCAACTAATTTGATAATCGTGCGTCGTAAGTCGTCATAAAGCCAAACCTTCATTTGTTTTAGCTTCTCCAGTAAGAGTATGTGCTGCTTTTGTCTGTTTTTATATCATTGTAAATTGAATATATAATTCTGGTTTTGGACTTTTAGGTTGACAAAACAAGAAATTGGAAACTGTGACAGGCTTTTTTCAATATTTTAGGACATTTTATACACTAAACAATTAATTGAGGAATTGAGAAAATAGTTTAATTGATAATAGATCAATCCATAATGATAATTATGATTTGTTGCAGCCCTATTTGTAAATTTGGTGTCTGTCAAAAATATTGTGATCAATAGTTTTTGTAGAATTCTCTCAAAAAGAGTTAAATGTTACAAAAATGAAACATGGCTGCTAACGGAAAATTAAAAGAATAGTGTGTTATGTTTTCTCACTGGGCTTCTTGAACAATATACAGCACTATGTTATTATAAATAACCAAGCAGAGCTCTGTATTCCCAGAGTGAATGAATTTTTAAACCTCACTGTCCATGCACACAACTCTAATAACTGGTAAAGATTATTTTTATCGCTGTCTAAGGATTTCTGCTATACGAATGTGGACTGTGCAGGTCTTATATTGCAAGCCGTCCACTGAAACATGAGATGTCTTCTCACCTACAGCATGAATCTATTTGAGTGCTCAACCTCCAATACAGTCAAAGAGGTGTAGGACGATTCAAAAAAAGGCATCAGGAGGGTTTTATGCAAGCTGCAGCAGTTGCAGATCTTTACTCATCCCAAGGCACGTTTGTGAGTAAGATAGGAGACAAAAACTCAGAACATCAGGTACCTGACGGCTGAACTAGTTCACAAGCTGTATCAGTGTGGAGCCTGCAACTGCAGCTACCACTTGAGGACAGCATCCACCCACTGGTCCTCCTCAGAAACTGCATCTCAGAACAAGTGAGGAGCCGAGTGTCTGACGCAGCATGCGATCATTCACCTTGGCTGCGTGTGCTGCTCGGACTTGCCTTGATGCAGCTGTCCACACACATACCCCCCCACCACCACCACCACCACCACCACCACCACCCACTACCCCCCTCTATAGAGGCAGTGCACTCTGCCTGCCATGGAGTGGGACGTACTATCGATCCTGCTGAAATGATGGTTTCTAAAAGGGAGGCAGTAAGCATGTCTGCACTCCCCTCCTCCACTGTGGAGGGGCCCTGAGATATCACCAAGCTCAGCACATTGCACCATCACGGCATGGGAAAATGGGATTTTCACTGTGAGATGAGCTGAGGGGAGTAATTCAAGTCGCCAAGCTATGTTCCCCACCAAGGATGTAAAATGAGCCACGTTACCTTCAGACGCCTCACACAGTGGACAAATAAGGTCATTTTAAATCTCCTATTAATTCCAGTCCTTGTCACAAAGAAATCAGATACCAAATGTGAAAATATGCATGAGTGCTGAAGTTAAGAAGGAAGCGAAGAGGAGGAAGATGTTCACTGTTCACTCATCTTTGCAGCACTTGTTCATAATACGTGTATGTGCCACCACATGCAACATGTATCATGCGATTCTGCAAGGAATTAAATGATAATCAGAATAAGTGATACATTAAGGAAGTGTATGAGTTTTTTTGCAGACTGACTGCGAGACTCTGAACCTCAAGTAGGAGGTGTCTATTCCACAGAAACCACTAGATGGCGACAATGTCCTAGTGTTTTCCAACACTCAGGTGAAATATGGTGCATGTGAATGCTCGGGCTCACACAAGGTTGCAGGAAATTCTAAGCAAGCTTTTACAGTAGTCTGTGTCTCGTACAGTAAATGAAACAAAATAAGGGCTTATATTTACTGCTATGGAAAACATGACTGTGCTTGTCTCTTTATGAATGGGCCTTATTGTTGTGAAGAAGCTCCTGTTACTAAAGATATTTGTTTGAAAGATTAGAAGTGACTGCATCAGTTGTCCAGCGCATGAAGGTCGTGTGCAGGGTGCATCATCCTTGTCAGTCCAAATAGTCAGTCATCATATTTGACATTCCCCATGGGTCAGTGTGTCAGTCAGTGGAGTATGATTCTGACTTACTGAGCAGCAGTGACTGATGTCAAAGATCTCCGCTCGTTTTAACGTCATTCTCTGCTTTTTTAAACCATGTCAGTGGAGGACTGAATGGCCTGAGGGTCAAGTTTAACAAAAAGGTGCACCAGCGTTTCAGTGTGTGAGCAATCATAGTTCACTGGTGCTGTCGATAATATCATGCTCCTACTGAAGTTGGTCATATGGTGTGTGTGTGTGTGTGTGTGTGTGTGTGTACTTAACAGATTGGAATGTGGATTATCAATTATGGTTCCTTTCATCATCACACATCACATGCATTTCCCCAGAGTCGACCATAACAGCATAATCCTATCCAAGAACAAATTTTAAGAAGATATAAGTAGAGTACAGCAGGAAAGAAACATTCTACTGTTTTTTTGGCATATTCGTTATAAAGATACCAAACCCTCACGGTGAATATACCCCTCTCACAGAATGTACCACAGATAAGTCCAAAGCAGCTTTTTATAGTTTCACTATCAATCCATGTCTAATTTCCTATCTAACTGTATAACTAACAAAGATGTAAATGAACAGGGGCTTTGTGAGGTCCTACCTGCCTTGTACAGCATGTGAGCCCAGTGTAGTGTAGTGCAGTGTCTGCAGTTGAGGTTACACATTGAAAGATCCTGTGGTGGCCTGAAGTTAGTTTTATATTGGGAGCTGCTGGTAAGTGGATATTTTACATCTTCAGTAAACATATTTAATTTCAGTCATTGATGAACAAATATAAATTCATATTTATATTTATTTATTTATACCAATATACAGTATATTTTAAGTTTTTTGTTTTCTATTTTGAATATGTCAAAATTGTTTGTGCAATTTTGTGTGTACCTAGTGGGACACAAAAATCAGAGACTCAAGAATTTTGAGTCCCCAATGTATATTTTTGTCAAATTAGTCAATTTATCTATGTGATAGTTTTGAAAATAATGTGATATTTCAATATTTCATTGAATATTTTTATGTTCCTACAACCATATATTTGAAATGTAATAACTACTTTTCCTTATGACTTATAGCTGCAAAGCCACATTTTTCATGTTCCTCCTTCTATGTGTGTGTGTGTGTGTGTGTGTGTGCGTGTGCGTTGGTGAGTGTCCTTTGTCCATGTAAATAAAAATGTACAATGACAATTTAAAAATTCAGTAGTTTTTGATACTTGAGCATGTTACGTAAGCACTTTTTACAGTCTGACTTGATTTTATAACAATACTAGTTTATTATTATTTACAGCTATATAATTAATAATGAATTATAAGTCTTATTCTTCTTATTGTTATTTTTCCTATTATTATTATTATTATTATTATTATTATAAATGCCACTTAGTTGCCACAAGAGTATTTAAGATGATTTTTTTAGAAAACAATATATGTTGAAAAATACTGAGAAACAACATTTCACAAATCAGTACTGAAATATAAAATACGTGAATTATAGTGTGAGGCCTTTTGTGAATGTGAACTCTAAAAGAAAATGGAAAATTACAGAATACAAGTTAAAGCTACATTCAACAATGAAATTTCAATGGGCCTCATTCACCAACCATTCTTAAGAAGAAAACCCACTTACGCACTTTTTTATCACTTTTATGAAGATTCTGACATTCACCAGTGTTTTCTAATTTGGGATTCACTCTTACAAACATTTGAGTGCTTACAACTTTGAGCAAAATAAGTGCTTATTGCGTTTTCCGGTGCTCCGATTTTCGTTTTGGCTTTTCTCAACTTTCGATTACGGTATCTCTTTGTGACTTCTGTCTGTGTCTGTACAGGACCAACTGCCACACGCTTTCAATTTATAAGGAGATTGGTATTCATCAATCTAAGAACACAGGTGCTCACAATTCTGCGGTTTAAGAGCACGTTCGTGAATCTGACGTAGAGTTTTCTTGAGGACTATCTTAAGAGCAACTTAAGAAAGAATTTAAGAAAATACTTAAGAAGATATTGGTGAATGAGGCCCATTGTGTTGATTGTATGGCTACAATTAAGAATTATTTTCATTATTAGTCTTTTGATTATTTTTTTAATGAATCAATGTTCTGTAGAACATTAAACAGTTTCTCAGAGTCCCAGGTGATGTCTTCATATGTCTGACCAACATCCATCAAACGTTTTTTGCAT